GTCTTCCATCCAACAAAGCAGACTTTAGAAGAAAAAAAAAAAAACCACACAAATTCTCCAATATTTCAAAAAATGCACTATCACTCTAACTGTTACTGTAAACCCCCAATTCTCAATCATTGTTTCTAACCTGAGGTTAATAAGAGTTCTATTACAGGAACATTACCACTAGCCAAGAAAAACAAAAGAAAGAAATCTCTTGGTTTGACCTACATGTGTCTGAAAGAAGAGGGGAAGAAAAGGAGTGTGTGGATTCCAGCTACAACTGCAAGGGATGAGGATGTACAATTACTTTCTTACTGAAATATAAAAAGCTTCTGGGTTTTGAAATCCTGTAAAAGATGTGAATCTTTTCTGTAGACAAATCAGTATTTGATAGCATGAAGTTTTATTACCTCCTCAATAGCTTTTTGCCTTCTGTCTTCTGTCTCCTTATCAATTCTAAGTAACAAATGAAAAACAACTCCATTATCAAAACCATCACATAAGCAGGAAAATATGTAAAGTCCAGCCATATAATAATTTATAGATACTCAAGAGGAACTTTATAAATTAAATTGCACTAAACCCTAAATCTTATGATGTGTTTACTCTTACGTGCAATGATCTCATACACAAATTTAGAAATATAAATCACTTCTCAATTCAGTTGACTTGAAAAATATTTGTACCATTTGGAAGTACATAATAGCAAATATTCTGTTTACTCAGCATGTCTGGACAAAAACTCAATCATAACTGATCTTCCAAAATAATTTCCAAAAAATGTATTTTACTATGAAAATTCACATGAGATTAGACTTGCACTATAAAACCAAGCAGACTAAAAAGCTGATCTGTAAGGAATTAAAAGGGCAACTGAAAACATTCCTGGAATTTGCACACTCAAATTCCTGACACAGCCCGATTTCCCAGTACAGAATTCTCTCTAGTCTAATACCCACAGCTGCCACAGCTTCTTCAGTATCACATTTCAGTTTCTAACAATGACTATATTTCCTTATGCAGCTTTTAACTTAGTTTTGAAAAAAATATTGTAGTTACTTGATGATGTGTGAGATTCTAAATTTATATTTCCTCTAACGGTCACCTTCAAGCCTGACTTTCACTTACTACAGTGTAATTTACTATAAAATTTTTTGAAGCTTGTAAATGTTCATAATTTTCTTAGCTGAACCACCTAATACTTTGATTCACAGTTCATATTACCCTTGAATAATTTTAGAAATCAGCCAGATAACAAGATATTATTAGATACACAAGCACATATAGATGTGACAAATACATAACTTCTCACAGCTCTCTCTTTTATGCCTATTAGACATATAGACTTTGAATATATCTGCAGTGTTTGGACATGCCACCTTCAATTACATCTGCCTAGATGATGCTAAAATGACAGATCTATGGAGGCACTTGCAGAGTTATTGTACCAAAAAAACAAGCACACAGTCACTGTGGATTCATGCATGTGTATGCACTGAAACACGTAAGCATGGACACAGCAAATCTACACAGAGTCAAACTAGCCTCTTTCTAGTCACAGCAGATTATTAAAAAAAAAAAATGAACCACAGTGATTATGAAACATTGGGACAGACTGAAAGGACCCACTGGGACAACGCACGTTCAAATCTATAGGCCACGTCGCTCACCATCACTGGAAGTGTCACCCAAGTAATCTCCATTAAAGCTAGCTTGTCCAAGTAAGGTTCCAGAAACAATGTAATTAACTCCCTAAAAACATGTAAACATTTTATACATTTAAAATATATAAAAACCATTAGTCTGAAACCTACTGGCTGCTAGAGGAAGGACAGGAAACATGAAGACCTGGTGATTCAGATAAAGCTGGTGACAGTACTAGTTCTACAGCTTTTATTATTCAAAAAGAGAGATGTAGGTTCAGTTAGACACTAAAAACAGTAAGTTATTTCACAGTATTTTTTATGATGAGGTTGCTGAAACACTGGGACAGGTTGCTTGGAGAGGTGGTAGATGCCCATCCCTGGAAACATCCAAGATCAAGGTGGATGCGACTGAGCAACCCGATCTAGACAGGACAGGTTCATTATTCTATTCTGCAGCACTTCATGCCTTGAGGAGCAGTTCCTTCTGCAAGTTTGTATCTGAGAAATGTACAGGAGAGCCTACAGGATTCACCATTGAGGTTCCCCCTGGCTACTTTCACTAGGCACACCATTCTCTACCACTGGCATGTAAAATTATCCCTCAAGGTAAGTTCCAAATACCAAGACTGTTTTTCCCACCCGTTTTCCTCGTGCAAGTTATTTTCAGATAAGGGAAAAAAGTTGAGATAAGGTTCCCAAACTACGTCAAGTAACTAGCACTGGAACCCCCCTCCTTCACATTAATATATACCATCGAAAGAGACTGCTGGGGCTTCCCCAGTTAGTTTCCCTAGCACATCTACCCTTCTGCAGGAGCCCCAGGGACCAAAGAAGCCTCACTGTGGAGCATTCTGAGAAGACAAACTGTGTTGTTACAAGGAGCAGAGAGGGAGCCTGGTAATGATCACTGGCAAGACATTTTCTTCCTTCCACTAGCTACTTTTATCTGGCTGTCTTCCAAACTGCAATCAGAGTGGATCAGCAGCTCTTAACATTAAAAGGAAGCAACACAGAGGTAGCCTGATTTAAATATTATATCCACATAATGTAAAAAACTGTGCTAAAAGATTTTAATAAAAAGTCCTTAATGCTATGCTGAAGTGTTAATAAAGCAAAAGAACAAGTGTTCTAGTATTAAAGCTAAGTTAGCTGCATAAAAATAGATTGTAAGTTACCTAGCACGGCTCAAATACATTCCTTGGCGTCGAATGTCTTCCGAGTCTATTTCCACAGGATTTATTAGAGCAAGCTGATCAATAGACCATCTGAATTTTCCTGGGGTCTAAAGAAAGAAACAGGCATCTTAATACTTGCTATTCTAAAAAAGATAAAAATAAAACCACAGGGCAAATCTCAATGGAACAATACAATCACAGCTTCCATATAGTTTCTGTCAAAAACAATCAAAAGTGTTTCTATTTAAATTATCTACTCTAAAAAAAAGTAACTCAGGCTTCTTATCCTGCTGGTAGTGGTATTGCAAAGATTAACAACATAATATTAAGTGGAAGTTCACAAACTGAGGTGTCAGTTTCTTCTCAATTCTGACACACAGCTCTACTAAAGATACATAACTTGACATGAACATAAATTGCTTCTTCAATCCAAACTGTGGTTCCCCAAAAACTCAGTATCCTAACCAAGTTTTCCAAATAATAGTGCAGTCTTCCTTTCACTTCCCATTTCTAAGAAGACCAGAGATGCAACGGCTGTACATTCTGCAATGTCTCTCTCATAAATGCCATACAAAGGGCACAACAAAATCCAATTCAGAAATAAGAAGCTCATCCCTTTATTTAACAAAGTACAGTTCAAATATATTTGGAAAATTATCTACCAAGTGAGTCTTTTTGGTTTCATTAGCAGATTCACCTACTGTTTATCAGAAAATAATTTCAACTGCAAACCAGTATGCATTTTGTAACCAAAAAAACACTTATAGATACACAAAATCATTGACTTGAATACACAAACAGCTCACAACATAAGTGCAATTAAAACCAGCCTACTCAGAATCTAAGTAGAAACTGGTTTTCTGCACTCTAAGTAGGACCAGAGCACCACATCCAACAACTGGTCTTTATCTACTTTTCTACTGGTTTTAGCACTCAATCGCTAATATCTAAAGACAAAACAGATTTAGGTAGGGAGGAAGACTAAGTGGCAATATTACTATTTAAAAGCAGCATAGTTCTGTGAAGAGAAGAAACTCCAAATGCGACCAAAGTTCTTTAGCTTGGTACATATGTTGACATACACTAAATAAAACACCCTTTTGAATGCATTTGAAAATATTAGCGCTATATCTGCACAGTTACAACCAACTAGATCTTACAGATGAGGATTTCGTTGACTTAAAGATTGAAGGACTGGAAACAATCTGCTCCTGAAGAGTATAATAATCACTGGGACTTTCAAAAGGATTCAGGATTGTGACTCGTCCTGGAGTTTCTGGCGTTATCTGCATTTTAGCTTCTTCTATATCACCCATAACACTAAGCTATACCTGAAAAACAGGGAGAGCAAAATTAAGGAAAACAAGAAAATTAAGGAAATCATGCTTTTGACGTTTTAGGGCCACCCTGAAGGCTTTGGGCAGAGAGAAATACTCGTTTTAAGGCACCAGCAACATTTCAAAAACGAAGTTAGCTATGGGTTGGACCAATGACATAAAGTCAATAAATAAGGCTGGTACGAACAATCGCAAGCAAACAGAAACTACGAAAACGACTTAAGAAAGAACATAAAAAGAGGGATTAAGAAAAGCCAAGCAAACACCCAAACAAGGGCAAAACAACAAGCAAACAAGCCAAAAATGCAACAAACAAACAAAACAACTCCCGAACTAAGCACCAGAGGTGACCACACAGCCCCAGCGGCCGGGCAGCGATAACGCCCCGGGCGGGTCCCGCTCTGCCCGGGCGCTAAAACCGCCCGCCCTCCGCCTCAACGGGCCGGGGCAGCGCCGGCCTCGCGGGGCTCGGGCAGCAGGGCGCCTCCCGGGCCCCGGCCGCCAAGGGGACGGGAGCCCCCGGGGAAGCGGCCCCGCTGAGCCCCTCCTCACGCTTCTCCCCGGGACGGTGCCACCGCGCCGAGCCGCTCGCCGCTCTCCCAAGCCCCGCCGCCGAGGAGGCGATGCCGGGAATGCCGGGTGAGCCGGGAACGCCGAGGATGCGGGCACAGCCACCTGCGCCGTTACCCGGCCGCCGCCGCCAAGCCGCTCCCGCCCCGCCGCGCCGGGCGGCCCTTTAACCAGCCCCGCCCCCTCTGAGGATTCTGGCCAATCACGAAGAGCGGTGGGCGCCGTCGGACCAATGGCAAGGCTGCCCCTCTCTCGAACAGGCCAATCGCCAGCGCCGCCGCCGCACGAATTCAAAGAAAGCCCGCCCCAGCCACGCTCGCGCTGCGCCGGGCCGTCACGTGGGGCTGGCGGGCCCGGGCGTGCGCGGGGCGTTCCGGTTCCGGGCGCGGCGGGGTCGCCATGGCGAGCAACGCCGCCAGCCTGAACGCCGTGAGGGAGACCATGGACGGTGCGCGACAGCCCCGGGACAGCGCGGGCGGAGAGGGAGCGGGAGCGCCCGGCCCCGCCGTGGGCCGTGCACAGGAGCACCTCTCCTGGGAAGCGGGGCGCGGGTTGAGGCTACCGAAAGTTGCAGCGTGTGGCAGTTTTTGTTTTACTCAAAACAGCTCAGTCTCCGCGGAGCGAGTGTCTTTGCACCTGACGTGGCTTTTCCTTTTTATGGTTTTATTTTTTTTTAATTAGGTATTTAGCATGGAATACGAGGGGGTTTTTAGTGTCTGTGTATATTTATTTGCTCTAGTTTCCCGTTATGTGTCAGGGTTGATGTTCATAACGTGACCTGGCTCGCTGCGTCCTGGATTTCAGCCGGGGGCTGGAAGTGCGCGGGGAGTGGGAGAGAGCGAGAGGAGGGAGCGGCCTGGGCCGGGGTCAGCGGCAGCGCCTGGGCGGACCTGAGCCCCGCGTTCGGGTCTTGTCAGGAAACCAAAGTGCACTCCAAAAAAAACAACCCAAACTACACTATAGTGCGAAAGCTTTGAGGACGGTAGTCAGTGCTGCAGAACTGAAATAGATTCTGATATGGAAAAAAAAAGCAAACCCCAAATTCAGGTACTGTTGTGGGATGGGAATGTGAGAGAAGGAGTACTGGGAAATACTTTGGAGATTGATGAGCCGTGAGAAATGTGAGCAGGTGAGGGAAGTTGGGCTGCTCACTTTCAGCCTGACCGTGAGGAGTCAAAGCTGGCATGTTTTGGAGTTGTTTCTCAGTGTAGTGTGAAACTGGAATTCCACAAAATGCATACACCAAAAGCTTATGTGCAGAGTGGAAAGCAGCCAGGCAATCTGTTGAGGGTTGTTAAATGTGGAGCCTTTCTCTGAAAATGCCCTGATGAGGGAGTAGAGGCTAGAGAGAATGTTCAAGGCATAGTGCTATGTGCTATGAATTTGTTATTTTCTCAGCATCTTCCCGTGTCTTGAAGTTACAGCTGCTGTTACAAAAGGGGTTTTTTGATACAGATCTTCATGAGTTGAGCTGGTGTAAAAGTTAGCATTTCAGCCACTGATCTCCATGCAACCTGCTGCTGGAGTCAAGGCAGGACTAGCAGGACCATTATGGCTCCTCTGATGCTTCAAGAGGGTAAAACCATTTTGTGCAGATAGAGAGTGACTTCTTTGGGAAGGACAAAGAATATAAGTTCTGGTAACTGTACTTGACAACTTCACTCTTTCCACTTCTGCAGGAATGATTTAGACAGGAGGGACAACGGGCAGATTTAATGACAAAGTAAGGCTTTTGAGAACAGACATGGAAAGTGCACTAATCTTCAGATTTAGGAGCCCAGGCTTCCTGTGTAGCTATGTATGTATTTTATTTAGGATAGATACAGACATTTAGCAGTTGTTGTCTGCAAAGTTGTTAAGAGCTCAGAATTGTTTTGGAGAATTTGCTACATCTCTCTGCCAAGGACACTGCCTCAACACCTAAAGATTAGAAAGGACTTCATCAGTGTCTGGAGTCCAAAAGCACAGAGTATTCTTATAGCCTACCTTTTACCTAATTGGCAGGCATGTTAATTGTTGACTTTTTCACTTATTTTTTTTACTTTTTCCAAACCTATTATCTAGTATTAAATTTCCTGAACCAGGGAAGCACAGTGTTTATGTTAGAAGCTGTAGTTTCAGCTTATGTTGGAAGGTTGAGCATAAATATTGTTGCAAATAGCAATGGACATTTTCCATGTTCACACTGTAGAAGTGCTGTAGAATCTAAATGTTAATGAAGAACAATCTTAATCATTGAAATTTCATAGTCCGTAGGAACTAAAGTGCTTTCATTTTTTTCTGTTGCAGTTCTGTTTGAGATTTCAAGAATATTAAACACTGGCTTGGATATGGAGACGTTGTCTATTTGTGTGCGGCTTTGTGAGCAAGGGATAAACCCAGAAGCCTTATCCTCTGTTATCAAAGAGCTGCGTAAGGCTACAGAAGCTCTAAAGGTAATGCTCTAGTTTAAAAAGCTTATAAATTTGTTTTTAAGAGTCGGATGCACATGCAACTTGCTATACTTCAGTTTGTAGATTGTACTTTGATATGACTCATTTTTGAATCAAGGAAATTAGCTGTTCAATAGAGGAGGCAGTGAATGCAACTGTACATGAAACGATACAAATTACATGTTTCATAGGAATAAAATAGACTTTTCTTCTGAAGAAAAAGAACACAACCAAAACTCACAAATTTTTATTATAGTCACCATTTGTCCCTTTACCTGCATAGTATCACAAATAGATTTATGCTTTAACAAATATCACCTCATTTCGACAACCTCAGATCTAAGAGTATGCAGCAGTACTTGTAAACAGGTAAAATGCAGCTTGTTAACGTCATCTTAACATATTGCTTTTACACCCTTGTTGCTTTGAACCTTTCCAAAGAGCAGAAAGAGGATTTCATGGTGTGTGTATATATAGGGCTTTTCATATATGTGTATTTCCCTGTTTAATTAGTAGATGCATGATGTGTGTATATATAGGGCTTTTCATATATGTGTATTTCCCTGTTTAACTAGTAGATGGTAAAAAAAAAAAATCTCACTTGCATTTTAAAGGGTTTTCATTCTTTATTGTCTACCTAAACATCACAGTCAGGATTTTTACTACTGCACCTTATATTTGGCTATTTTTGAGAGGTGAAAGGGGAAACCTATATCTTGCTTCTATTCTGGAAGACTGCATACTTTATTTTTAACTTAACATTTTTCTATGCTCATGGATATTTTTTATTTGTGTCTAGGCTTAAATGTGTGCTTACGTATGCATTTAACTGTGTATATAAATAATTGATGGATGTTTTACTTCTTCCATTGCTTTCACTGGTTTCCCATTCCTGTTGCTCTCCTTTGCCTGTTTGTCCCATAACTGGTATAAAATCTACCACTGTCATTCTTCAACAACTGTGCTTTGTTGTAGTTATTCAGTGATAAAATACTAATATTCTTAATCAAATAATTGGTAGTGTGATTTATACAGTTATGATTAGTGTCGTTCTTCTGAGTTTTGTGTCAATATCTAATCTATATGGATGAGGTAATGATCAGTTCTGTTTGAGATTTCAAGAATATTAAACACTGGCTTGGATATGGAGACGTTGTCTATTTGTGTGCGGCTTTGTGAGCAAGGGATAAACCCAGAAGCCTTATCCTCTGTTATCAAAGAGCTGCGTAAGGCTACAGAAGCTCTAAAGGTAATGCTCTAGTTTAAAAAACTTATAAATTTGTTTTTAAGAGTCAGATGCACATGCAACTTGCTATACTTCAGTTTGTAGATTGTACTTTGATATGACTCATTTTTGAATCAAGGAAATTAGCTGTTCAATAGAGGAGGCAGTGAATGCAACTGTACATGAAACGATACAAATTACATGTTTCATAGGAATAAAATAGACTTTTCTTCTGAAGAAAAAGAACACAACCAAAACTCACAAATTTTTATTATAGTCACCATTTGTCCCTTTACCTGCATAGTATCACAAATAGATTTATGCTTTAACAAATATCACCTCATTTCTACAACCTCAGATCTAAGAGTATGCAGCAGTACTTGTAAACAGGTAAAATGCAGCTTGTCAACGTCATCTTAACAAATTGCTTTTACACCCTTGTTGCTTTGAACCTTTCCAAAGAGCAGAAAGAGGATTTCATGGTGTGTGTATATATAGGGCTTTTCATATATGTGTATTTCCCTGTTTAATTAGTAGATGGTAAAAAAAAAAATAAAAATAAAAAAATCTCACTTGCATTTTAAAGGATTTTCATTCTTTATTGTCTACCTAAACATCACAGTCAGGATTTTTACTACTGCACCTTATATTTGGCTATTTTTGAGAGGTGAAAGGGGAAACCTATATCTTGCTTCTATTCTGGAAGACTGCATACTTTATTTTTAACTTAACATTTTTCTATGCTCATGGATATTTTTTATTTGTGTCTAGGCTTAAATGTGTGCTTACGTATGCATTTAACTGTGTATATAAATAATTGATGGATGTTTTACTTCTTCCATTGCTTTCACTGGTTTCCCATTCCTGTTGCTCTCCTTTGCCTGTTTGTCCCATAACTGGTATAAAATCTACCACTGTCATTCTTCAACAACTGTGCTTTGTTGTAGTTATTCAGTGATAAAATACTAATATTCTTAATCAAATAATTGGTAGTGTGATTTATACAGTTATGATTAGTGTCGTTCTTCTGAGTTTTGTGTCAATATCTAATCTATATGGATGAGGTAATGATTACCATAAATTATATGAAGTAAACTCCAAAGTTTATATTTAAACTCCAATTGAGCCTTTCTTGAAAGTAGTAGGGTAAAATGTACAAGATAAAAACTGCTCAGATACAGGATGTAACACAAGTAAACAGCAGTGGCTCTTTTAGTAAAGGGTAATGGCAGTTGACGGCATTATTTTTTAGAAAATAGTAGTGTTCATTAGAAAAAATTTCCTAAGTAGCTTTTTTTTAGACCCCCTAAGTTCTCTAGGTAATTAAAAAAAAGTTACAAGAAAAGATTAAATTTAATCTACATGATGTCTCTTTTGGTGACTTGGGAAAATTTCTTTTCTGTTTCTAGGCTGCTGAAAATATGACAGGCTGACATGGGAGAAGATCTCTGCATAAGAAGAATGCCAAGTTAAAACTTACCAGGAGCTCTGGAGATTGCCACTATTAAGAAAAAAAATGAAATAAGTGTATGTGAAGATTTCAGAGTACTTCTGTAATACTTTTCAAAAGAATGGTGTATATAATAGCTTTGAAAAGTTTTTAAAAAGTTCACCAGTAATATTATGGGTATTTTTATGAACCGTTTGTGAACATAGTGCAATTGTTTTTCTTTGGCATCCTGTACATTTAAAATCACACCAGCTGCTGTACATTTCTTGAATTTAGTAGTGTGTACCAACAAACCTTGTTAGAATGAGTGCAGTTTTGTTAATGCATCATTTAAAAGTGGTAGTATGTCATGGGTTTTATCATTTGCTTTGGTAAAAAGCTACATGTGCAATTTTAGTCTTGCTTTATGGTCCAGATAGGAATGAAGCCCATGGTGACTTTATTTTAGAGCAAGGGCTGTAACTTAAGTCTCAAGCTGAAAGTAATAAATAAAGCATTTTTTAATAATGTAGGTCACGAATTGTGCTTTTGATTTCAATTCCAGTTGCTGGGAAAAGTGTTTAACTTAGATAACAAAAGTTCTTCAGCTATCCATGTATGTAAATTTAAATTCTAGATGACATGGAATGTTTCACAGAGAGCAGATGATACATTTGTTACACCTGTTCTGACTGTAGGATCTAAAAATATTGAGGCTGTATTGTTACTGCAGTACAATAGTCAGTGCGTACATGACTGACTGTGTCATGAGAAGCATCTGATTTGGTTGATGAGTGTCAGTGAGTCTTAAACAGCTGCTTGGTGCAGGAAAGTCTTCTCATTTAACACTGCAAACCTTCACTGATGCCAAAACAAGTATTAATGTCCAGTATCTCTGCACCCAGGAATTCTGCTTTGTAAGAAGATGGTTTCTTGTATCTTCATCTGCTGATGTGTAAGTTTTTGGGGTTTTTTTAAAGACTTGATTTTTTTTTTTTTTTGTTCTGCTGTTTTCAAAGTATAGCACTAATGGGACCTAAAGCAGCCTGCAGGGTTAACAGGGCAAAGCACATTTGGAAATGAACCTGGAATCTTAGTTGAGCCAAAGTTATATTTGTGCAGAGATAAAAAGTTCTTTTTACTTGAAGAGTTTACACCATATACACTCTGGATCATAGCGCTACAAAAAGCAATAAAGGAAGCTAAATACTTCATATTGCTAACAAAGAGAATAGAAAAATATTTATATTGCCCTGAATCACTTGCCTTTATTTCCAGTTAGCCTGGCCAAAACATCAGTCTGGGAAGATTCTGTAATTAACCAAACTAGGGAATTTTCAAGTGGTTTAATTTTGCACACTCATAGCAGCAATTTACAAAGGACTTTAAATGTTTGTAACCTGTACGAGAAGATATAAACAATGAAATTTACCTTTGGAAATCTGGAAATTCAGTAAAATATCCTGAAAAGTCCAGGTCAGATCAGCACAAATGAGCAATTAGCTCTCTTAATTTTCTCTAGACTCAGTACTACATGTCTCGCTGGTCTCAGGAGTCACATCTCAGTTTATGAGATTTCCCTTGTGTAACTTAAGCTCTGAAAATTTTCTGTAAACTATAGCAAATGTGCCAAAATAAGAATGAAACTCAATTAGAATATATGTTGCTGTTGCTGCATTTCCTTTTCCTCTACAGCCAAATCTTTGGGTAATACAGGAAGTCTGATGACTTCCCTTGAATGTCACTCTATTATTAGTTTTATGTATTCCCAGATTTTTTTTCTAACTTGGTAGCTTGATTTTGGTTTGGGTTCAATGTCTTTGAAATTCTTAAAACCAGCTTGCAACTGCAATGACAATTTAGACATAATTTATAAAATCATATATAATTCTTGAACTGTCCAGTAAATTGCATCTACCATTTTACCATTGGTAAGCTTTCTGGTAGACCATTTGTCCTGCAGAATTACAGAAGAAGGGCATGTCTCTGACATTTAAAACCCCAATTTGATGTCTGTAAAACTAAAAGTGCATTGCTTTCATTATTACATGGAACAAAATGGTAACATTGGTTACCTAATGTGCTAAAGGGGGAACGCGTTCTTTCTTTAAGTGGTATAAGAGAACTCCTGGCTGCTTTTGGTTTGGGGTACCATCCATAACAAATACAAAAAGTTGGGTTTTTTTCATCCTCCTGGTGAGAAATAAAAAAGAAAATCTCTCAGTTGGAAATTTCTTACTGGAGATATTGGGACTGCAAGGTAAGTCTATCACTTCAATAGCATCCCCACTATGTGAACATGAGTGCTGAACCTTGGCAGTGATGACTGAGAAGTCTTGGCTGCATTTGCAACACACATCA